TGTGTGTGTGTGTGTGTGTGTGTGTGTTTGTGTGTGTGGTGCGTGTGTGAGTGCCGACTCATAGCGATTTTGGACCATAGAAGGATCTTTAACGAGCGCAACTTGCACACGGGACCTCTGAAATGTTTCTCCCTTGCCCAATGTTAGGTGTAGATCGTTCCTGCAATAAGATCAGGGGTGTGGCTGAAAGACTGCAGTTAGAAGGAGTCAAGGAGTAGCAGTAGACACGAGAAGGGCTGCAGGAAGAGTCAGGAGCCCAGAGGATGAGGCAAATTTAAGGAGGTGAGGGGGTGAGGGCAGAAAATGGAGACGAAAACAGACGACAAAACATTGTTTGTAATGTTAGAGAGCAGGAAACTAGGCGAAAGGAGACAATTTTTAAACAGAAAATTTACCGTCGATATCCGGATTCGAACCCACGACTTATTGTATGAGAGGCGAACACCTTAACTTCTAGACCACGAGAGCCCCCTGATAACGGCTCCGAGAATCTTACGATAATGATAGAGCAGTGAGAACAAACTGGGTTTTTTTTTTACCTCAAGGTCTCAGAAACTCAAACCAGTCAAAAATGGAAGATAAAACGTTTGAAATTCTTAGGTAGCGATATGTTGAGAGGAGTTGACCGAATAATCATATCTCATGCACTTTAGAAAAAAGTTCACGCTCTGCCATCGCCTTTCGTCTCATGTTATGCACGTATTGTCCCTATTTAATTCACTGCTTATTCGGGTAGGTACAGTTTTATCATATTATAGAGTACAACATTTCTTATGTTGACTGTCAACATATGTTTCAGACCCTCACTTGGGAGAAAGACAGAAATAGAGGGAGACATACGGAGAGAGAGAGAGAGAGAGAGAGATAGAAAGAGAGAGAGAGAGAGACAAAGGAGAGGGGAAAGGGAGTGGGAGAGAAAGAGAAAGGAATGGGGGATGATAGAGAGTCGGGGAGAGGTTGAGAGAGAAACACAGAGACAGAGAGAGACAGAGAGAGACAGAGAGAGACAGAGAGAGACAGAGAGAGACACAGAGAGACACAGAGAGACAGAGAGAGACAGAGAGAGAAAAGACTAAGAGGGCCGGGAGAAGATAAGAATAGCGAGAGAAATAGATAATTCTTAAGGGAAAAGCATAAATAGCTTGCTGCGACGCGACATGTCTATCTTCGTTTCGGTTGCTCCCTTACTCACGATAAGACGTGCAAGGCATCGCGGGGTCAACGCCACTGAACCTTTTCATTGGGGGAAAGATGACTCACACGCTA